CCCCAAAACCCCAAAACCCCAAAACCCCAAAACCCCAAAACCCCTTTTTCCACGAAAAAATTGAGACCAATAATAACTCTCTACTTCAATTGTTTATTTAATATACCTTCATTCCTAGGTTCTCTTGATACTCCTTCACTAGTTTCTCGATTGAGAAACTATTTTCGACCGTTATCCTCAAATTTGTTGTACTAGGATTTATCACTAAAGCATTTGGGTAATATGCCAACTCCACTGAATCTAGTTTATAGGAAATTATAACATCTTTCTCTTTTGAAGTGACTAATGATAAGGTGTCAATTCCTACAGAAATCCAAATGTGCTTTTGAATATTTGGGACTTTAGCTCTACAAGGTTTTTGGAAAACTTACTTATTTTAATTTGTACACTTCTCCCCAGAACAAAGCTTTTCCGTACAGAGGGAGTTTAGTTGACAGCCTGATGAGCTCCATGAACCTCTGCTTGGAATGCATCGTGTACTTGGCATTCACCCATACTTCATTGATCAACTTGATGTCTTGTTGGGTAGCATCTTCAAGATCCTTGCCAAGAAGTTTGGAAATGCTACAGACGCTAGTGTTGTCAAGAATTTTGGCTTTAATTTCTGTCTTGTCCATATTTTCAGAATCTATTCCTCATATTTTTAGGGCTTCTTGGTGGTTGAGTGATCACCACATTCCAATAAATTGGCACTTTAATCGACTAGGCATAGAGCATCTCCTGGTCTGGAACTCTGCAATGATCTGGATGGCTCTGAAGTTGAGTCAGTCAACAGATTCATCTTCTTTAAAAGTAAAATCGTAAGGAAGGTAATTCCACTTCATGAATACTATTCTTAGCGAATCCTCAGGCAAGTTGAGATACTTTCCCAAAGCAGAGTTCTCGCTGGACTCCTTCTTAATCTTGGTCACCGAAAGCTTGGCAATTTTATTTGTGCTTTTGAATCTTCCGAGGACACCCAGAATTGACTCTGTGTCTTCGAAGACTTTGACCATCCTGCAGTTTTGGAACAAAAAGAGCCGCTTGTCTTTGACATAGTTGATTTTGAGTTGGTCACACAGAGAAGTGCAGACTTCGAGGGCTTCGGTGCTCTTGCCAACTTCCACTTGCATTGTCTGTTTGTTTAGCAACGTGATATCCAATTTTTGTTTGATTCTGTCAATCGAAAACATTTTGGGTTCAGTCCGAGTTCCAGAATTGATCCTGAAAACCGATGCCAGTTGACAGTCTTTGAACTGAGGAATCAGAAACAGGTTTTGCAGGAAATAGTCAAGTGCAAGCCGCCTGTATTCGATTTTCATGGTAGACCCACTCAGAAAGAACTTTTTCTTTGGAAACACAGGCAATGACTGCTTCAACTCTTCTTGAGCTGCTAACTTCTCGTAGATCTTCATGATTTCGGAGAATGTTTTATAAATGATGTGACAGAACGAAGAGCACGGACCCTTGACTCGTATGGCATATACACAGGACTTACCCTGCCACTCCACATCAATCACGTCACACTTTATGTAGTAATCTTCAGGCCCTCGAGTGTAGTTGATTAGACCAGAAGCATCATCAACAGTAAATGACTCAAGAATGCAGTCGGACAGGTCTTGGACGAACTCTTTGCTTTTGGTGACTTCTTGGCCTTTGGCGTCTGGTCGGAGAATCAAACACTTATCTTTGCTAGTGACTTTGATGGTTCCCGAGTAGTACTTCATGTGGGTCAAATGGAGGATCCTTCAGGCTGAGTTGATTTCCATAGAACTCCAATATTTGTATCCATAATGCTTATTTCTTCAATACCAGTAGCAAGTCGGTAAATAGCAGCACTTTGAACTTGGTCTTATTGTTAGGCTGCAGTTCTCCGCTGATCAAGTGCATGTCGTACTCGGCAACGCAATTTCTTTCACTCAGCTTGAGTTCTTCAGGAAGCTTGTCAAGCTTCGGAGTGGGTCTGATATATCGCTCGTACTCTTTCATACCCTGGTTGATTCCGTCAAGAAGTTTATTTAACATTGTTCAAACACTCAGTGTAGATCAAGAACATTCTGCTACCTGTGAACGTGTGTTTCAGCAAATCTTTGATGTAGAGCAAGTACCTGGGAATCCTCTGCACTGGAGATATCATGAACGAGTCGAAGCTGACTCAATGGAAGTCTTTTCACAGTTTGGCGCAGAACTTAGCAAACTTCTTGTTTCCTTTCAGAAACTCTTTGGTCAGCTTCGAGTATGCTGTACTATGATTTCCACAGTACTCGAGATAGGACTCACGACAGTCTTGTATTGACCAGAAGATGTCTGCAAGAGTGTCATTCTTGGGAGTCCATCTGGTCAGTTTGTCTAGAATCTTGTAATGATAACTCAAGAGTTCTTTTACATTTGGAAACAAATCCTCAACATCTTGTTTGCTGATCTTTAACTTGCTGCTGAAGTCTTTGTCTTTCTTGTCTGAGTGTTCTCCAATTTCTTTGACAAATGCTTCTCTATGTAATTACTAGAATGGACTTACTTGATTCCAATCATTCTGAGAAGCTGCTCAATGTAAGTGATTTCGGTGTCCTTCATTTCCTTGACAATGAAGTTTCTGTACTTGGCTTTGGAATAGGCTTCTTTCAGATTCCGTATGAACCTGGCAACGTTGCGGAAAGTCTTGACTTCGGAAACTTGGGCATTGGCTTCTCTCCTTTTGAAGTTGTTTCCTATAATATATTGTTCAACAATGGTATATGAAATAGATGCTTGTGTTATTCTTGACTTACTTTCCTTCAAACTGACCATTATATCTCTGCGCTTTTATCTTCATGATCTATGTGAACCCATATTGTTAATGCTTATGATCCCAGTTTACCATATTAATACCAGCAATTTCTCAAATTCTTGGGTATGATAAACTTTATGATAAAATTTTCATGGATTTAGAAGATTAGGAAGATTTAACACTCAGATCTCTTAAGTCTTACCGGGCTCAGGCTGCTTTTCTTCATCTGACAGATAGTCTGATTCATTACTTTCTGAGTCATAGATTTTCTTCTCTTCCTCACTGTTAGAGTCACTTTCTTCTTCTAAAATATTGAAGAGATTCTGTACCTGATGAGCGACTCTCACTGCTATAAATTTGTGAGTTTCCAATTTAGATGGAAAAATTAAGAAGATTTGATGCAATAAAAAGTCTTTATCAAAAGCAAATATTTAAAATTTGGCTTACCTGAGAAAATCAAAGGAAATGGCTTGGATTTGTAACTTCTCCTTTGCAAATGTATCCCTTGGACTATTGATTAAATAGATATATTTACATTGTAGTTAGTGTTTGGTCTATCCCTATAATAACTCTTAAACAATGTCTCCCGGACCCAAATGATTACAGCAATCTCCTATCTCCCATAAACCATTTAAAGCTCTTTCTATTACTTATGCACAAGTTAAAACAATCTTGTCAATACTGAGCCAATGTTCAAAAATAACGTACTCTCCATTATCGATAGTTTCACTTATTATCAATATTATTACTTAAAAATGGGGTTTTGGGGTTTTGGGGTTTTGGGGTTTTGGGG